CTCCTCAAAAAAATGTATCTATTAATGAATCGTTAATGAAATATAAAGGGAGATTAGGATTCAAACAATACATCCTCTCAAAGCGCTTTAGGTATGGCGTAAAATTCTACAAACTGTGCGAGAGCGAAAGTGGCTATACATTTGCCTTTTGTGTATATGAGGGGAAAGATGGTCAACTGGACCCTCCTGACTCTCTGGGGACAAGCAGGAAACTTGTTTGGGACCTACTGATCCCCTTGTTCAATAAAGGTTACCACCTTTATGTGGACAATTTTTATAGCATTGTCCATTTGTTTCAAACTCTTTAGGGTTTCTAGATACTGGCCTGTGGCACTGTGAGAAGAAATGCCAAGGATTTCCCCAGACCTTTTATAGAGGCCAAATTAAAAAAAGTGAATGTAAATGTCTGCACAAAGCTAAAGTGCTTGCAATAAAATTTAAGGACAGGAAGGATGTTAATATACTAACCACCATCCATGACGAAAGCATGTCAGACGTCACTGTCCGAGGCAGAGTACAGAACAAACCTGTTTGCATCATGGCTTATAAAATGCACATGCGGGTGTTGATTTGGCTGATCAGCTGATGCAGCCATATCTTATCTTAAGAAAGACAAAAGCCTGGTATAAAAATGTGGCTATCTACCTGATGCAAGTAGCAACACATAATTCATTTTTACTCTTTAAAAAAAATGAATCCAGAAAGAACCACCTTTCTCCAATTTCAGTTCAAGCTGATTTCCACAATAATTTATGGAGATGGTCAAGTTCCAACAACGGTGCCAGAGGAGTCCAGACATTTTATTTTTAAGATACCACCAACTGCAAAAAAAACAAATCCCCTGAAATGTTGCTGGGTCTGTTATAAAAAAGGAAAAGGACAGACACCCCTTTGCACTGTTTTTTTTCTTTTGAAAGCAGCAAATTTTAGTCAGTTTCCTTCCCCCCAAATCTCCAATTAGATTCTTTTTGCAGGAGTTAGTTTAGAGAATGCTGCTAAAGGTGCATTTGATACCTGCACATTTGGTTAAAAAAGTGTTATGGTAGTAACATATAACTGGCTGGCCAAAACCAGATGACGTGTGCATAAAAAGCAGAATTAAAAAATTACCACCATGCATGTTCTCTGAAATTTGTTTAGCACAATGGTTGGGGGAAGGATGTGAAAACACCTCATATACAATACCCTGGAATGTCTACTTTATAAAAATATAAACTTTCATGATGTTAACATTAAAGGACCACTATAGTGCCAGGAAAACATACTTGTTTTCCTGGCACTATAGTGCCCTGAGGGTGCCCCCACCCTCAGGGTCCCCCTCCCGCCCGGCTCTGGAAAGGGGAAAGGGGTTAAAACTTACTTTTTTCCAGTGCCGGGTGGGGAGCTCTCCTCCTCCGATCCTCCTCCGTTCCTCCCATTCTGCTGAATGTGCACACGCGGCAAGAGCTGCGCGTGCATTCAGCCGGTCGCATAGGAAAGCATTTGTAATGCTTTCCTATGGGCGCTTGCGTGCTCTCACTGTGATTTTCACAGTGAGAATCACGCAAGCGCCTCTAGCGGCTGTCAATGAGACAGCCGCTAGAGGCTTTGGAGGAAGGATTAACCCATTTATAAACATAGCAGTTTCACTGAAACTGCTATGCTTATAAAAAAAAAAATGGGTTAACCCTAGCTTGACCTGGCACCCAGACCACTTCATTAAGCTGAAGTGGTCTGGGTGCCTAGAGTGGTCCTTTAACTGGGTGATGCAACAATATGCCAAACTGAAGATAGGCCAAGCATACCTATATATCAAGTTGAAAAAATGATATGTACAAGTCTCGATTGTGGCCTTTTAGCCCCCAAACAACCCAGCAAACCTATGCATGGGTGATATCACTGTACTCAGGAGATGTTGCTGAACACATATTGGGGTGTTGTGTGGCAGTGATACATAACAGGATCTGTTAATTCATGCCTAAAGTACAATGTGTATATAAAAACACGAAAAAAATTACTACCCAAAAGTTTGCTAAAGGCTGGTGGTAGAATTATTGCATGAAAAGTGTTAAACTACCACCATTTAAAATACCCTGAGTTGTCTACTTTTCAAAAATATATGGTTTGATGGGGGTAAAATACATTGGCCCAAATAGGACATGTGCGTAGGTTGACTACATGTCATAATTCCAAGTATGAAAATGGATATGCGCACCTGCCAAATGTGGCCTTTTAGCCCCCAAACAACCCAACAAACCTATGCATGGGTTGCATCACTGTACTCAGGAGATGTTGCTGAACACATATTGGGGTGTTGTTTGGCAGTGACACATAACACGATCTGTTAATTCATGCCTAAATACAATGTGTGTGAAAAAAACACACAAAAAAACGACTACCTAAAAGTTTGACAAAGTCTGGTGGTAGAATTAGTGCATTGAAAGTGTTAAAATACCACCATTTGAAATACCCTAGGGTGTCTACTTTCCAAAAATATATGGTTTGGTGGGCATAAAATACATTGGTCGGCTTTACAAATGTCCCAAATAGGACATGTGCGCAGGTTGACTACATGTCAAAATTCCAAGTTGGAAAATGGATATGCGCACCTGCCAAATGTCGCCTTTTAGCCCCCAAACAACTCAACAAGCCTATGCATGGGTGGTATCACTGTACACAGGAGATGTTGCTGAACACATATTGGCGTGTTGTTTGGCAGCAAGACATAACAGGATCTGTAAGTTTATACCTGAATTGCAATTTAAGTGAAAAAAAAACCAAAAAAAAACTACCTATGCAAAGTTTGGCAAAGACTGGTGGTAAAATGGCTGCATAGAAAGTGTCAAAATATCTTTAGATGAATACCCTGGGTTGTCTACTTTAAAAAATATATATACATGTGGAGTGTTTTCCAGAGATTTATGACAGATAACGGTGTTACAATGTCACTATTGATACATTTTAAAAATGTATGTTTTGGAACCGCAATATCCTACTTGTACTTATAGCCCTATAACTTGCAAAAAAGCATGTAAACACTGGGTATTTTTAAACTCAGGACAAAATTTCGAATCTATTTAGCAGTTTTTTTCATTAGCTTTTGTAGATGAGTAAAAGATTTTTCAAGTAAAAGTAAAAAAACATGTATTTTTTTAAATTGTGCATCATATTTTTTTAAAATTAAATTACATGAGATTATATAAATAATGGTATGTAAACAAAGCAGTTTTTGTCCTGAAAAAAACAATATACAATTTGTATGGGAACAGTAAATGAGAGGGCGGAAAATTACAGCTAAACACAAACACCACAAAAGGGTAAAAAGAGGCCTGGTCGCAAATGTACAACATCGCAAAAACAGTCCAGTCCTTAAGGGGTTAAAGTGGATCTTTCACTTTTGGGAAAAAAGACCCCCAACAGTAACATCTCTGGTTAAGATCCAGTGGGGTGCAGAAAGTTAGGTTTACTTACCTGAAGCTGTCCGTCGTGGCTGTCACTATCTTCTTCCAGCAGGCCTTTTATCTGCCAGGAGCCACTTTTGTAATGTACGCTCACGCATGCGTAAGAGCACAACACTGAGGTCTATGGAGTATCCTGCGAGACCGTGGGAGCCTCCACACATTATGTCTCACGATGAACGATACAATGCCTGAAACTTACAGCCATCAACTGCGACAGCTGCTTTGATTGGACAAATGTTAACAGTCCTAGTTTGATTTATGGAATCTTTTAATTTCATTGAAATTCCATTTCAGCCAGTATGACCATGAGTAAGAATATATCTGAATGAAATACTAAGAAATACTATAACCACTTTAACATCCATTGAGTCCTGTGCCGTATCATGCAACAGGGAAGAATAAAATAGTAAGTTAGACCAGTGGTTCCCAAACTTTTTAGGTTCAAGATGCCCTTAATATTTCAATATTGCCGCATTACACTTCTAGCACCGGGAAAATATCTTGCGGTGCCCCTCGCTGTGCCCCAGGGTGCCGCGGCACACAATTTGGGAACTACTGAGTTAGACAATTTTATTTGGTATCCCACTGTGGGTTGATTTATTAATTTATCTCCTGAATCCTATGAATTTCACATAATGCAGGGCAGCCCTTTTCCTGTACCACCCACTAGCACGAAGAGTTGACAAGTGTCCGGGAAATGTTGGTGGATCTGACAGCCCCCCTATGATGGCAGCCTACACATAATATATGTCATACCGAGGGAATATCGAGCTGAATGTGCATTTCATTGTTACTGTCACTTCCAGCTTTTTATTATTTATTTTTTTGCCTTATACACGAACGCCGCTGACGGCGCTTACAACGCGGGTGACTCATTACTTCCCCTTCCCTCGCATATCCTGCATTTATGTTTGTCAGGTTTACCACACATCAGATGAAACGAGCTGCAATCCATATAGGCCATCAGTTACTAGACAGATAATATGGGCAACGCAGAGAGTAAAAGGGGTTTTACGTAAACAGCTTTGGTTCCCTAATGGGAATAGTTGGTGGCTATTGCTGTAGTAAATGCGTGGGCTTTATTTCCTGTCGTACAGTGTGGGGAACTTGACCTTTTGCTTTGTGTTTGCACAAGAAGCCGTTTTCTCCTGTTTGCATTCATCCATTTCTATTGCTCAATTCTTCAGAAGGGAAGGAGGACTTTTTTGGGGGGTTTTAATCTATAACATCATCAGAGTTACTGTGTATTTGGTAATAACGATTGTCATCAGATGTTACGCAAATGATACAGATAAACCCATTCACTGCTGCATTCTGTGTAAAATGTCAATTAGGATCCAAGGAAGGTAATCCATAAACAATGTCTGATCTATAAAGTACAGAACGCATAGCTGGCATATTATGTAATGAAAACCACAATTTCACACGTATTTTACT